ACACAAGGGGAGGAGCCGGCCGTCCCGTCCATGTAAACACGGCTCTGACAACAACACAGCCAGCGGGACTCGAGCTTCTCCCTCATTGTAGACAGTCAGGACTCAGAGACACATTTACACAGGACAGACTTTATGATTTATTGATGTGGAACATGTCGATCATTCTGTCTTTAATGTCTGATGACAGTAAGATCATTTCATCGTTTCAGTCACTTCATATTTTACTGATTGGACTGAAAAGCATGAAATACAAACGATCCTCCTGTATAGGCCGACGTCTCCTTCTCCTGAGGTCACTGTCTGTAGAGAGCACCTCGTCTGTATGAGACTCAGACACGGTGACGTCTGAGTGGACGCTGCAGATGAACACAGACAGATTGTCTCTCTGTACTGATGAAGACGTAACAGTTGTTCTTTGATAAGCAGCTTCACTTCAGACCCTGTAGAGAGTCTTAAGAAAACCCGGCCTCTGTTGGCATGTTTCCAGCCGTTAAGGTGCCCTGTGCTAATTGAGACGTCGATCCTGCTGACCCCCAACCCCCCCCCCCCCCCCCCCCCCTCCTCTCCAGGACTCTCCAGGTTTTTCCCAGGCCTCTGACTGCTTCTTTCTTCCCCTCAATGGGATTACGTTGGGGCTGTGGAGAGAGCTCTGATCACATCAGAAACGGCTCTCCGGGGTTTTTACACAAATTCTGCTCCTTCAGCGTCGCTGCAGCTCTAATCAGGCCGAGCAGAGACCCCAGGAGAGAGAGAGAGAGAGAGATCAACTCTGTTACTGTTTATTAAGCTCTCTCTTTGATACTGTCTCAGGCCGTCTGAAAGCACCTCTGCTGCTGCTGCAGTTTGAGGAAGAGGAGAGTTTGATGAAGATGTCCAAACTCTAAAGGAAGATCTGATTGAATCATTTCAAAGTCTCACTCGATAAGAGCTTGCATTGCATCTTTTTTTTTTTTTTTTTTAATCTATTTGAACCTTTGTGTTGCTGGATTTGTTGAGCTGAGTGTCAGTTGCACTTTGAACTTGAGCCTGGAGAACCTTACTTTAAAATATTTATTTTGCCGAGGAAGTAGGTGTGTTTATAAGAAATAGAAAAAAGAACAGAGAGCAGTCATTCAGTGAGAAGAAAGTACCTCTTTGGTTAATTTCATTTTTTAAAGATTATTTTGGGGATTTTGCCGCCTTTATGAGGATAGAAGAGCTGTGGAGTGACAGAAAACTTAGAAAGAGAGAGTGTGTGTGTGGGGGGGGGGTGACAGATTGGGAGTCAAACCTGCGACCGGTGCGTCAATCATGAGTGCATTAATCCATGAGGCGCCTGCTCTACCAACTGAGCCAAACCACCGCCACCAGGTCGACTTTTTAGGAACTTATTTGTGGTATTTTTATGAGCTGCTAATCTTACAGTTGTTGTTGTCCATGTTGGATGTAGCTTCTTGCAGCCCTAGCATTTAGCATAATTCAAAAAGTCGATGCCATCCCCTTCAGTCGTATGCAAAGACTGAATATAGTTCGTCATATTTAGGTCTGTTATGTTTCTTTCAGCACAGATATTTAATGTCTTTCTATGTGATTTTTCACACTTAAATGTAGAAATCAAGTATCTCCTCTGAAAATAACTCTGTGAGTCATGACTGTCTACAATGGGTGTAACACCCGAGTCCCACTGTCTGATGTTTTCAGAGTTTTCAGAGTCCTATCTTCACTTTGTTTACATCGTCAGGACGGCCGGCTGACTCCTCCCCTCACGTATAAAAGTTGTTTAATTGAGGGACTAGAGAAAAGAAGAATAACATACTGTACTCACTGCTTAACTGTGTTTCTAGATCACGCTCATTTCAGGTAAATTTACATGCAGTGTGAAGATACCAGCATAATAAAGATCTCTAGCATTATCATGCTAACACAACAATGCAGCGCGAGTTGTTTTGGTTTCATGATGGTGCTCAAGGGCGACATCTGCTGGATCAAAAAAATCACACATTAAGCCAGCGTCACGGCTCGATGCACTCATGAATAATCGTCAGTCGTTCAGTTAATTCTCACAGAAAAGTGAAGGACAGGAAAAGGTGACGGTAGAAAATGAAGTCCTCTGTCCTCCCTCCTGTCTCAACCCTCATGTCTGCCATGCAGCCTTCAGCAGACAGCATGAGTCCCGCCCCACCTGGGAGGAGAGCTGTGGAGTCTGAATGGAGCAGGGACGGGACACCTGCCGGCGGGTGGGTGGGCATGTGTGAGCCCGGTCCTCTTTTGAGAAGCAGTGAGAAACAGGCGTAGTGACCGTTTAACCAGATTAAAGACAGAGACCCCCAAAGCTCTCTATTCCCCGAGACAGACTGACCCCTACCACCCCGGGTTACACAGATCCCAGCTAATCCCAGAGCCGGGTTATTTATTTGCTTAGCTTAAATCGAAAGGGGGAACCCGAGCTCGTCCCAGACTTCAGACCTGAGAGGAAATGTCTCCATCATCCTCAAACTGAGACGAGAGACCAAAGGGTGGAAGGATGATTTTATCACAGAGGAGGAAGGTTTCATGTTTGATGCTCCTTCACAAGCCGTCAAACATTAAGTTCATTTTTAAATCAAGTCTGATTTAGTCGTCTGGTGAGCAGAATGTCTTCAGTTATTTCTTTGATTTTGGTCAACTTTGATAATCAAATTGTTCTGCAGAAAGGAACAGTGGTAGGATGTGGTACTACTTCTTACTCTGTACTGTAGTAAGACTATCTGCACCGTCTGTGAATGTGCCACACAGCAGGTCTGGGGAGCGCCGATAGCCTCCCAGTTATTTTGCACGCCCCATGTACAGAGGTTATAGTCCTCTTCACAGCGCCCGTTGGTTCTGATACGACCTCAGCCCTTTGCTGCATGTCATCCCCTCTCTCTCTCCTCCCAACATTTCCTGTCTGTCTTCAGCTGTCCAATCCACTAAAGGCAAAAAGGCCCAAAATTACTTAAATAAATAAATAACAAAAAGTTAGCCGTTAAACGAGCTGACCCTAACCCTTCAGCTCTCAGACTAAACACTTTGCAGCTGTTTTCACAAACGCATTCATGAAAATGTCTAAAAAAATTTGAGGCAGTCTGCGGCTGAAATCCTCCAGCGTTTGTTGTTCACACGCACCTCACAGCAGGAGGCTGATCCTAACTAACGGGAGGAGATCGACGCAGAGATGGCAAACGAAGCAAAGAGTCCAACACTTATAATGAATGTTTTTTTGCTTTCATATCAGTGTCAGGTGTAGTCCAACTTATTCATAATACCAACAACAAGGTGGAGAGGAACATTCTGACAGAGAGAAAACATAAAGAAGAAGTTTCATGATGTGCACAGAGCTCGCAACGGCTCGTGCATACTGTAGTAAAAATCATTGATTTTCCTGAATATTTACCGCTCTCTCTATCGCACGAGTTCAGAAAATTTACTCCGGGGGTGGCAGGAAAATGATGAGTGAAATCAGAGTGAAAATATTGGATGTTTTTGTTCACACATGCAGCTCATCGTGAACATTTTCAGGAAGTTTTTTTGCAGGAGTGAGAACAGCTCAGGAGATTTTCTAGAGAGAGCATCACCAGGTACGGGAAGCATTGAAGTTGTGTGGAGGTCACACCTCTTATCTACAGCTCATTTCTGACCATCATCATCAAAATCTGTAACAAGAATAATGTTATGCTTACATTTGTCCAACTCAAAGCTCCTGTGAGGAGTTTAAAGCTGGTTATGAAACAGACTGATATTAAAACAGACGACTCTCTAGGAGCTAAAAGAGCAAATGAGACCATCACATTTCTATACAGTAATTTTGAATCCTCGAGACCTCTCATGCCAGGGATAAATGTCAGACATCGCACCGTCAAATCAGCTTTTTTTGGTCGTATTTGTAACATAAATACTGCATTACTTACATCAGTAAAAAACAAGTCCTGACAGAATCATTTGTACGATCTTTTATAAATTATTTTGGGTTTCCCTTTAGGTAGTTTTGTTTTCTTAGTAACAGCTACAACCCTAAAGCTTCTCAGTCAACCTAACGACAGGCTGAGAGCTGAGGCAGGTTTTAACCCTATTAACAAACCGTTACACCGTGCCCACCTGTCAATCATGTCAGCTACACGCCTTATTGTGAATAACTCTTATCCTTCATCAAATCAAAACGGACGAGTTATCAAAAAAGTCAGTGTGTGTCCATCGAGACATGAGCTAATCACACCTATTTGGTTTTTTGAACCAGGCTGTAAACATGTTCATCTCTGCTGCAAAAACAGGCTTTTTAGAATGGGTGTGTATGTGACTTCCTGTGCTTCTGCAGCCAGCCTCTAGTGGACACTCGAGGAACTGCAGGATTTTTTTTACTTCAGCTTAAGCTTCATTTTTCATGTCCTAACTTGCCATGCCTCACTTCAAACAAAATGTGACCTCGAGCCTGAAACATCTTTTGAGAAATAACCACATCTGTTTGTCAGATGGGCTCGCTCATCTCAGCTGAACTGCCGAGGAGCCCCTGAGCAAGGCACCAAACCCCCTCCCCACCATCAGCTCAGGAGTACCCGCTGTGGGCCGCTCCGTCACTCTGGCTTCTCTCCATTAGTGCATGTCCATAGGATCCTGTTTCTGCGTGTGTATGTGTGTGTATATTTCAGTGTGTGTTCATGACTTGTGTAAAAACTGAAATTAAATAAAGTAAAGTAAATCTTAATCTTAACGCAAGAGGCGTTTAGGGCCTTTAAAATCTGTCAGTTAAACTTTGTTAGAGTGCAAAACGGATCGATTTTAACCTCTTGATAAGAATGACCAGGACACAGTCAGCATTAATGTCATAAAATATATTTCTGAATATTTCACTCAAATTTACAAAAAACATGAAGTGACTCATCAAAGAGCAATAAATGTAGAAAATTAAATATATAAGTATACATCTATTAAATATTCATAGTCGGAGACAGTGGCCTCCTTTCTCAGCACTATGTACAAAAAGTATTTTTTTTTAAGAAGTCCAGGTTAGTTTGATCAGCAGTGATCAATGCAGTCATCGGACACATCGATGTCCACGTCCAGGTCAGAGAACTCCTCATCCTCGTCTCCTTCGTCCCCGTGGCCCTGAGATCCGGGACTCTTTGGTGGAGCAGCCAGGCCCAGTTTGGCCAGCTTGGCCTGCTGCTGCTCCAGACTCTGTTTGCGCCACTTGATGCGTCTGTTCTGGAACCACACTTTGACCTGCAGACAAAACGAACGATATGCGTTTTAGAAACATGGCAGCAGAACAAATATTTGGATGTTTCTGAGAAAGTATTTCAGTGTTTTTTTTTTGGAGAGGATTGATTTCTTACCTGAGCTTCTGTGAGCTGCAGAGATGAAGCCAGGAGGAACCTCTCTGACCCGACCATGTACTGCTGCCGTGCGAACTCCTTCTCCAGCCGGGAGAGCTGCTCGCTGGTGAAGCTAGTGCGCATGCGTTTCGATTTGCCACCTTTGGTTTTGAAGGAATGAAGTCCTGCGTTCACTTTGGACATGGAAGCTGCAAAAAAAAAAAAAACAACGAAATTAAACGAGATTGCCACGTGAGCTCTGATCAACTTTATAATTATTTATTTCACTCTGCTGTTCCACTGAAAGCTTCTTTATTTACCTTGTGCGTAAAATGCTCCACGACACGATGTCTGGTAGGTGAAGGGCGGACAGCAGTAGACTGAGTATCCAGGCTGTGTGTGCATCGCTGAGTGCAACATGCTCGGGGAGTAGACGTAAGGTGCTGTCGGTATCGGTAGGCCTACGTGTCCATTGAGAGACAGAACCGGGGCTGCTGCTGGCTGATGGTATTTCTCCCCACGGTGAGTGGGACTCGCCCGGCAGCTCGGCGTCTCCTCCGGCTTGGCGAGCAGAGCATCGATGGTGAAAGATTTCCCACTTTGAGGCTTCGGTGAAGACGCGCACCGGCTGCCCTGATACTGCGGATAGAGCGACGTTGGTGCGTAATTACGCATGGAGTATCCATAAGCTCCCACTGGTCTGTTCGGCACCTGCATCCTGTTTGATGATGTTAAAAAATCAAAAATAAGATATCGGAGGTGTTGTTCGTGGTTGTTGCTCCAAAGTGCAGCAGGAGAGTGAGTGCCTCTGCTCCGAGGAGAGCCCTCATTTATACCTCAGCCGGACACGGAGGTGTCAACAGCCCCCCATCGATCCTTTGTCTTTCTAAGTAGCAGATGAGAGAAACGAACATCCCGACAACGTATCCAATTAATTGGTGGAGTAGTACAAGCTGGGATTGTCAAACATCCTCACCCTTTGAATGACAAGGCTTTTGAAGAGGCCGGGGGGAAGGGAGGGAGGGAGCTCCAGATTTACTGGCCTACAAATTCTTGCATGGATCTTAAGTCCGAATGTAATCATTACCGCTGTGAGAGCCTTGATGTTACCAAATCATCTTATTTGGAGCCTTTTAAGTCCGACAGATGCTTTAAGCTGCGTAACAAGTCGCTTCATGATGATTGGATGTTGACTTATTCAAACACAATCTGCTTTGCGTTTTATCTTTGATCCTATAAACTTTCTAACGCACATTTTGTAACCCTCCAAATTCACAAAAGATAAGGTTGTATTTTTCCTCAACCAGTTGCAAACTGTGATCACTCCTCTATGCAAACAGTCCATCATCTTTTTCCTGTATGAAATGAATGCACTCTATTCCCCAACGTGTGTCTTTTAACAGCAGCGGTGTCGCTCTGTAAATGGAATGAGTGCCGTGCGTAACTGAGGCGTCAGATTCAGCGGCTCGGGTGTTTCTGGTGGTGACAAGAGAGGGTGGCTGCTGGTTTAACCAAAAACTGCAACTGCACTAATCTGCTGCGCTGCGTTAATCCACAGGTTGATCCTCACTTTGATTGTTGCAGTGCGACACTTGGAAAGGCAACGCTTCCTGCAACAATACAAGTGGATCTAAAGCCTTAAACGTGAGCGTGGGTTTATTATAGCACTCCAGATGTGCTCGTGAATTAAAAAAGGCAGCGCAGGATTTTGGGCCTTTAACTTAACCCGGAGTTGTTTGATCGATTAAGAGGTCTGAAGATGAAGCGCACTGCGGCGTCTTTAAAAGGAAGTGATTTGCTTTTCTTACAGAGACCACAAAGACCTTCCCTCTCTCTTTCAACTTGGATTATGGGCCAGCTCTGCAAACTCCACCGGCCTCATTTCCATCATGTGAAGGTGGCGCGGAGTTTGTGCGGAGCTTTAAGTAACTGTTAAAACACATTGAAGCTCAGGAGCGAAGCGCTGCGTTCCCTTTGACCTCACAGGCCTTTTATTGATTCTCCTTCTCTGACACTAGAATGTCTAATGAAGAGCGCAAACACAGACTTTCTCCTCCCGGTCTCTTCTGATGCCTCTGTACTGAGCGGACCACCCACTCCCCCCCCCCCCCCCCCTGTTTACTGCCGGTGCAATGATGAAAACCTCTCTGCTGACAGCTCATTTGATCCTCACTGTGTCAAGATAACAAACTTTTCAAAGTCAAACCAGCTACTTTAATAATCTCTAATTAAAAATAAGCCTCATCTCAAATGAGAGTCGAGTTAAACATGGTTCGAATAAATAAAAGAAAATGATTTATCTCAAGTTTGAACACATTCACTCACTCAGTACTTTCAATTTGCAGACCTTAATTGGTCCAGTTGTTGATACCTGTTACAATTTTCTACAAAACATTAATCCACACATATTTTTTTTTTAATAGAAATGAATCATATTCAATTAAAAAATCAGTTCCAGTTTGTGAAATCTGAATATTTTCTGCTTCTCTGGTAACTTAAAGTTCATGTTTTTGGTGTTTGGAGCAGAAGCTTTGACTGAAGATGTTTTAAGGCGTCACTTTGAACATTCAAAGTTTTATTTTTTGTACATTTTTAAGGCATTAATATGAATTAATAATATAATGAAGCTTGTGTTGTAACCCTTTCTGTTAGAAGTTGGACGCAGGGAAGAGAAACAGAAAGGAGACGTTCAAAATGTCAAGAAGGAAGTCAGACATCTGGGCAGAATGCTTAAAAAGCATTACAAAATATTTCTCCTCATTTATTTAATTTCTTAAATGTAAAACTTGAATTCAAAGTTTCATTATTGTCCTGGAAATAGAAATCAAATCCTCCTCCTCTAGTTTCTCTGAATCCTCCTCCAAAGGCGAGGACACATTTTTAACCCTGACGTCCTCAGAAAGCGCGTCTCTTTTATTTTGTGCTTTTAGAGAAGTGAACACTCTGCGTCCTCGGATGTCAGAGCTGCAGCGCTGAAGGCAACATGTCCCGCTTGTGTATTGGAGCCAGACAAGGAATACGCGGAGCTCTCTGGTCCCAGAGGAGCGCTCCATTCATAGTCATGTCCTGAGAGGAGAAAGAGCTGCTCTCTCTCTCTCTCTCTCTCTCTCTAATGGCTCTAAATGAGCCTCTCACCAAAGACACCTTGAAACTCCTCATCAGCACTTCAGTATCTGCGGCTGCTGACATGCAAAGCGGTTCCTCATTTTCTTCTTTTCACCTGTGACGACCCCGCTGTGACTCTTCCTGAGGCGAGTTAGAGTGCAAAACAAATACAGTTTAAATGCTGCAGAGATAAATCACATCACTCACTGCTGACTGTTTATAACACACTGAAATGTGTTTTATATTCAGCACACGAGCATAACTGAAAAACTCTGTAACACGAGCAACATTTAAGAACAAGTAAGAAAAAAGACAGCGCTCTTTTGGTGGGGAATCAGCAAATCTTGAAGAAAAAAAGACCGAAAAAAACGATACACTTGTCTTTTTCTTCTCCATGTTTTAACGTCCAGCCTTCTGCAGGAAGTTCTAATACAGAAGTCACTTCCTGAAGAAGTTTGGACGCCAAAACACGTTGAAGGAACCGTGAAACTTCTAGAACTTGCCAATTCAATGAAAGCATTTTTACATTTTTTCTAAATGGGCCCAAATGAAAGTTGTTTTTTAGAACCGAGTTTGAGAAAAAAATGAGAGATGTAACCGATCTGATATCGTTATTGGGTCGGATATCGGCGTAATTCCCACATCGGTTATCGGACTCGGACGGCGCCGATCAACCTCACAGGTCAAGACAGATCGTTGGGCTCTTTGAGCATTCTCAGCTCGCTCAGTCTCACTCTGAAGACGTTCAGACCGAACTGTAAGAAGTGTCCACAAATCGTCTCCATGACGACGTTCAGACGAGATAAAAACAGATCCTTATGTGATCAAATTCTTACACTTCAGTTTAAAAGATTTAATTTGAAAAACCTGACAGTTTTTACTGCTTCCTGTTTGTATTTGAAGCCAGCTCAGCTTTGTGAAGCTTCACACATAACAACAACAACAACAACAACAACAACAACAGCGTTATTACTTATGATAATAAAAACATCGGTATCGGTACATGTGTATCTGGATCGGATCAGAAGTGGAACAAAGTGGGTCGATGGAGGTTTCTGACGTGCAGAACATGAGAGTGACGGCGAGGAGAAACCGCTGTGCCACCTCTGGGCTCAGTTCACACATGATTGAACGAAACAAAAGCATGAAGAAACACTGTCATCATTATGAGTCCTGAGCTGAAAGGGGGAGCGTTTTCTCACCTGCCCGACACATTTAACACGCTCTGTGAGCCCGAGTCTTTCCTGTCCACGCACATCCACCCCGCTAATGACTTTATTATGAAGCCGTTTACAGAACGACCCCCAACGACCTCTGAGGGTCATTACTGGGACAGGCCCGGGACTTGGCCCTCACCTTGACTGAAGAGGCCAGGTACGCTGCGTCTGGATCCAATACACATCCAGACCCTGTGTGTGTGTGTGTGTGTGTGTGTGTGTGTGTGTGTGTGTGTGTGTGTGTGTGTGTGTGTGTGTGTGTGTGTGTGTGTGTGTGTGTGTGTTTCAGCAGCGTGACACACCTGCCCTGAAGCCGATGAGAAAACAAACCTTTTCTCTGTACTCTTTTTCATGGGTCACATTTTGATGCTGGCTGCAGGGAGAATGTTTTAAAAGTAGCTAAATTATTCATTTAGATATCATGATGCTAACAGTCACAGCATGTAAGTAACTGTTTATCTATTGTTCTAAAGGTCAAGCGTCGACCTTTTGGGCTCATTTTTAAAATGTGATCTGTGACGGGAAACCGATGAAATATGATATTTTTCACACATGAAGCCGGCAATCAGCATCATGCCCAAGCATGTTTGACCCTCAAAGTCCAGTTTGTGTGACTCGTGTTAGTGCTTACTTCCTCGGCTCTGGCACAGATTGAAGAGGTGTGTTTCGTCACGGTCACAGTTCATGCACGAGTAAAAGCACATGTAAACAACATGGACGTAAATCCCGGAGTGTCCCGACTGTGTCCGACTTAAAATAAGACACAAAGTCAGTAAAGTAGTCGTCATGTTCTTTGTGTTGTTCTCTGATGTCTTGTAAACTAAGAACGGTGTGGGTTAGTCCTGGACAGAGCAGTGTGAGTGCGCCCTGATAGTGGACACCTGCTCGTGTGTGTGTTAAAGACTTCACATCACATACATAATGTCAGAATATTTGTAAAGTTGGGAAGAAATAACAACATATATTACAACTGTTTTCCCCTTTACCCCCCCCCACCCCCCCCTAGAGCACATACATATATAAAAGTGCATATGTGAAAATATCAGGATCAATCAAAACATTCAAACCTTCCCCTCACCCTCATCCACCCCGTGGCGACCCCACATACATCCCCACCCCGGATCTCTCAAGGAAAAACACATTTCAGGTCAAGCATGCTGCACACTGTCCTTAACTATATTGTAGGCTGCATCCCATGCTTTGAGGGTCTTAGGAACACAACCACATGTTGAAGTGACTCACTGGCTGTAATATTTCTCTCAGTTACAGGAAGTAAAAGTATTTGGATTCAATTATCAATTTGTATCGGTAAGAAGCAAATTGAATTGTAAGAAATCATCCCTGAATCAGATCGTCTTGTCTTGGTCTCGATCCCTAAATGTCTTGGTCTTGTCTCAGTCTTGAAGCACTCTGGTCTCGGGTGTGCAACAAGTGCATCCTCCGTATACTAACCAGCAC